AGCTGTGAAAGTGCCGTAGGGCTAGGTGGATGGCTCGTAGTTCAAGCCAGTTTATGTTGTGTCGAAGGTCCGATGTGGACCAATGGCCCTGCGCCCACCTTGTCTGGAGGTGAGCTCCCCAACCGAATATGCTTGTGTCGGTCGTGAGAACTAACCTGTTTGGTTCTCTGAAGTATGAGCCTCTGAGCATGGCTGGGGACAGCCATCATGTGAGGGAGAGTCTTACCCGTTGTGGCAGCCATACCCTTTGCTGGGATGCACTGAGGTTCTATCTCTGGAATGGGAGCATGAACCACTGCAGTTCCCGTGAGTGAAGTCTGGACCATGGCACGATTGCTATGGTCGAGATCATATTCCCTAGCAATTTGGAAAGACTGACTAGCGTTGTAGACTGGCGCCGGTGTAATTGGAGCACTGACTCCCTTATGCTGTTCCGGCGTTCCTGGGGAAGGTACACTCGGCACTCCATCGTGTCTATGATGGCCCCTAGGTGTAGTATTCTTGTTGTGGGGACCAAGTGACTCTTGGGGAAGTTCACCGAGAACCCGTGATCCTGGAGTAGCCTTATCACTAGTTCGAGGTCCACCAGGGCGGACCGGGTAGACGACGACTGGATCAGTATGTCGTCGAGGTAACATTGGACTCTGACTGGTATCGTCCTCAAATGAGCTGCCAGAACACCCTGGGAGCCGATGACAGGCCGAATGGGAGTGCCCTGTATTGAAAGTGACTTCCCCCGTATTCGAACCGTAGAAAACGGCGGTGGGCCAGAGAGATAAGAATGTGTAGGTATGCCTCCGTGAGGTCGATCGATGTCAGGAGGTCCCCTTTCCTTACGCTTCCCAATATGGAGCGTAGTGTTTGCATTTTGAATTTGCAATATGCCAGATGGAAATTTAGACCTTTGAGATCTAGAATAGCTCTCCATCCCCCTGATGGTTTTGGGACGACGAAGAGTATGGAGTAAAAACCCTGGCCTCTCTGGTCCGATGGCACCGGTTCTATGGCTCGAATGCTTAGTAAATGTTGAACGGCTTCGTTCATGAGTCTTTTCTTTGTTTGGTTCCGGGGGTATGGGCAAAAACGGAACCGATTTGGGGGGTTGGAGAGGAACTCTAGGGATAGGCCGTGACGGATGGTGTTTATTACCCATGCATCTGTGGTGGTTGCTTCCCACTGGTGGGCAAACAGGGTGAGTCTGCCCCCTATGGGAAGGACTGATGAGGAGTCATCTGGAGCGGCGGAACGGGCGGTTATTCCTGCGAAAGGGCTGCTTGCCTTGCGCTTGCTGCCTGGGTCTTGAATTTTGTCTCTCTGTTTGTCTCTCCTGTCTATCCTGTCTGGCCTGAAAGGGCTACGATGACTGAGAGTAGCCAAACCTTGCCCCTGCACGAAAGGACTGCATCCTTGAATAGTGACCGGGGCGTCTTTCCTGTCTCTTGAGGATGTGATTAAGGACCATGCGCTTGTCCTTGTTCTCTGTTAGGTAAGGTGTCAGTGCATCCCCAAATAGTTTGCCTCCCTGGTATGAGGCGGATGCCAGCTTCCATTTGGATTTGGCATTGGCTTGCCAATGTTTTAGCCAAAGCATGCGCCGGGCCGTGATGCTGGAGGCGATGGTCCTGGCCAAGAATCTGGCCGCTTGGAGTGTTGCATCTGCCGCGTACTCTGTGGCCGCTACCATCTTACTGAGTTCCTGCTGCATGCGGATGTCCTCTGTTGGTACCCAGTTCTGTAGTTGCTGGAGCCAACAGAGTGTGGCTCTGCTGAAGAAAGAGGCGGAGGTTGCAGCCCTGGTAGCCCATGCCGCTGCCTGGTGTGTTCTCCAGTAGGTGGACTTGCATTTGCGGTCCTCGGCCTTAAGGGCCTCGGAGAAGTCACCAGATATGGCAGTAGACGATACTAAGGGCCCTAAGGGCTCATCTACCATGGGCACCTCCAACGCCTCCTCCAGTTCCTTGGCTACGTTATACAACCTCTTGTCAGTGTTACCTGGAAGAGGAAGGGAAGTTGGAGAGGACCATTGTTTCCTGACCGCGTTCAGGAACAAGGCAGGGCAGGGGATGCGATGTTGAGTCGTTACCGGTTCCACGAACCTCGGGTCGGCCTCCGCGTCAGAAAGAACAGGTTCTGATGGAGTTCCCTGTCTGAGATGAGCCGTGGATTCAGCCTTACGTAGTAAGGTAACAAAGAGAGAGGGGTTAAAGAGACCATGAACGAGGGCACCTCAGGTGGGGCGTCCTCGTCTTCGGACATTTGGACCATTTGCTCTGTACCTGGTTGGTCAAGGTAAGAATCCTCGGAAAGAGATGATTCGGATGGAGAGGATGGACATTGCAGTGTCCCCGTTTCCTGCTGGTGACCGGTCTTGGGCCTGGACGTTCCTGGCCTGGGAGCCAGAGCCCTAGCTTCAAGGGCTCGGTCTACAGCCTGTGCGATCAGGGCTGCCAGGCGATCCTCCGACAGTAGCGGAGGTGCCTTGCTAGGTTGTTGTCCTGCTGCCATGGGTGTGAATGTGGCCTCGGTAGGCCCGAGACACCCATGGTGAGGAAGATTGGGAGAGGGAAGAGAACTCACCTGTCCCGCATCGCGCAAGGAACTGAGACGATTCCCCCGTCGACCATACCCCCAGTGGAGAAGATGAGGCTCCAAGGGGTAATTCAGGAGCTAGGCCCCCGTTCTGAGTTTTTTCCAACCTGGCCCTTTTCTGCGCCCTAGCGAACTCTTTTTCTAGGGCCTGGTGTCTCCTGCTTGCCTGTTTGTCCGTCTTCCTGGAAGATATTTTGGCAGATCTGGCCTTAGTAGCTGCTACCTTGTCGCTGCCTTCCGGGCCAGACAGGCCTGATGTGGATGGCAAGGCTCCTGTCGAGGGAATGATGGCTTCCTCCATTCTCCAATAGCACAGGACCACAGTAGGGGGATCCCGGTATTAGGAGAGAATACACACTGAGTAAGGACAGACACACTACTGGGGGCACCTGGAGCCCAGGTACAGCCTCTGCACCCAGATACTAACAATGGCTGTGCACGGATAAGGACAGACACACTAATGGGGGTGCCTGGAATCTGGCTTGGAATGCTGTGGATAAGGACAAACACACGATAGGGGGCGTCTGGAATCCCAGCGGTTGTTATCCGGATAAGGACAGGCACACTACTAGAGGAGCCTGGAATCCGGGTGGAGCCAATCAAATAGTGGATACTTGGAAGCAAGGCACACCAAGTCCTGGAAAAATGGAGATCACTAAGGTGAAGATCAATATTCGTGCCCTTGTGGACTCTCTGAAAAAGGGGTCTCTTCTTATCCTAAAGGCAGTATTCACCCTCTCTCTAGGAAGGGGCTTACCCCTTTCGTTGTTCCCAATGCTCTCCTTAGCTAGGCCTGTATTTATTTATTTATTTATTTATTTAAGTATTATTCAGGTCGCTTGAGTCACTGTGAAGGTCCGATAGAGGAGATAAGACCGCGCACGCGCAGGAAATGGCTTCCACGCATGCGCAGTGACTCCCCTGCTCAGTGAAGAGGGTTACTACCGTGCGTGCGCAAAGATGGCTGCCGCGCATGCGCAGTGATCCTTCTTCTTGCCTGAGCCACGTGGAGCCTAACAAAGGATCCGCGCGAAATTTGAAATGTAGGTCCGAGCAGAATGATCGGGCTGCGCTCCCGGCTCTTGTTATCGTAAGATTAGAGCCTGAACGTGTGAATTCCAGGGATTGCCTCCCCCCGTGCGTGCCCCCCGCCCCTTTTCCGGCTCGCTAGTCTGAAGCCTTATGGGTCCGGTGCTGCCCAAGGGAATTAAATGAGGGAACTGTATCTTCAGTGGAGCTGCAGCCGCAGGCTCCGCTCGCGCTCCCCAGCTGGCTAAACTAGTTTTTTTAGCTGCCAGCTCGGTTTTCTCCGGCTGGAATGAGGAGAAGGAGGGGGTGAGGGGGAGTGGGGGGGGAGGGAGGATCACCTTCCTTATCTAGATTGATGTTCTCAGCAGGAGAATACTTCTTAGTCTTTGCTAAACAGTCTGGATTAATTAGTAATCCGATCTTTTCTCCCCCCCAATGCACAGCTACTGGGAAAAATTCACCAAAAAAGAAACTTTCTAATTTTAAATTTGAATAATTTAATTCAAATTAAATTGAATTAAGGAATTAATTTAAGTTGAATTAAAGAATAAATTTGCCTAATTGTTTGCGGAATAATCCACCAATGGAGATTGTACTTGCCTGAGCCAAGTTTGCAATGTCTGACCAGTGGGCGAGATCAGTCAAGACTGGGATATCGTGGTCCAGGATGGGCGTGGCAACTTTGGCTGACTGATCTGATTGGGCAGGAATACAGTCTCAACCCATTGGTGGATTATCCATCTCCAGTGCTGGAGAAACTGAGTTTCTCTATCTTTGATCTATTTTAATTTCTGTTCCAGTTCTGAATAATACAAAACTTTGACTCTTTCCAGCCCATGATAGCTAGCCTTCTCTTGTCTAGTGACCAATGTGTTTGTTGTATGTTTTTCAACTGTTATCTAACAGGATAATATGCTTCCCAAAGACTCCAAATTCAAAGAATTTTTTCCGGGTTGTTAATACCCTCATTCATTTAACAATTCAATTTGAGAAATAGTAGAGAAGCAGTGGAATGGTTTTTGTTTGAAGATGTTGTTGTTGCTATCTGAACCAGAGATCCCTTGAAACAGTATCTTTCTTATAGGAAAACAATTTAATATTTTTAAGTTCCACACTGACTATGGAGGTTAGTTATATGTAAGGCATATAACTAACATACTCGTGTAAGGTATATAACTCAATATACTCAGTACTGGGCTTTAATTTACGTGGCTCATTTCTTGAATATCAAAAATTCCAAAATAATAACTTTGTAATTCCAAATTTGAAAATCATACCTGGAAAATGGCTTTTAAATTAGTTCCAAATTGAAACCCAGAAAATATGGATAGAGGGAGCATTCTATAGTAAGGTCAAATAGTTATTAGCTATGTTTCATTTACCTGTATATCTGAAGATATGTCTGGTGAAGCTGATAGCAAGAATCTACCAGGAATGAAGTGAACTCCTGTAAAGCAAACGGGGTTAACCAGTGTTAAATACAAATGCCAAAAACTCCAAAACCACAAAGAGGAAATACTAAGCAACAGTAAACTGGAATCAGAGGCCAAGAGTCCAGATAGGGTTGTGCTCTCTCTAGAATCTACAGACTGGGAATGCTCTTTAATCCTCAGCTTGCTGGCACATGTGATGAGAAATCTATTATGCTAGTAACTAGTATGCTACTTCCTGAGTCCCTCAAATTTAGCAAATTTTACCTATAACCCAATCACACTCCATCTCAGCTGTTGCAATGTATGCTGCTAAGAGCCAACCTTGAAAAGTACTGCAAAGTTCAGCTGGCTCAAAACATGGTATAGCTAGGTATAAACTAGCACAAGATAGAAGAGTCAAAGGTGTCTATACTGAAATATCTGCTGAGGTAACTCATTGCTTTCCAAGTAATTATTTAGAATAGGGGTGTCAAACTGGCAGCCCACGGGCCAGATGCATCACGCGCGGGCAACTCCGCATCTCTGCAAAGGCAAAAGGTCACAATACGTTATATCACGTGACATGATCAATTTTGACACCCATGGTTTAGAATATTAGTGCTAACTTTTAAAAACCCAACTGGCTTAGGGACTGACTAGCTACAGGAACCATTTCTCTAATACAGGAGTGTCAAACTGCTGGCCCGCAGGCTGGACACGTCACCAGGAAATCGCGCCCATCCCATTGCCGGCACTGGAGAAAAAACTCCGATATGTCGCGCGACATCACGAGTTTGACATGTTTGCTCTAATATATCTACCTAGATATTGAATATCCATTCTTTCTCTCAGAGTTCATTTCTCTGGGACAGAGGAGAGGGCCTTGCACCTGGTATTGCTCCCAGATTGTGGGCTACATTACCATAGAAGTTATTTTGCTCTCCCATTCTCTTTTGCCAGGGCTTTATTTAATTAATTGATGAATTAATAAGAATTATTTTTGTACTTTTAATTTGACTAGCTGCCTTTAGTAGCAAAAGATAGGATATAAGTCACATGCATAATTACAAATAATACACTGATTTAAAACTATGAATTTTAAATTTTGTTATCCTGCAGTCTTGAGGGTTACACATAGTTCTGGCAAGGCAATGGAGAGACTTGCACCATTAAATTAAAGATTCAGATATCAAATGAAGTTTTCTTTTCTGTAATTGAGTAGCCTGTTGGTGCATCACTGTCATTGTAGCTTGACAGCATCTCTGATAAATGACAGGACTGCATTCACTGTTGGGGGCCAAATGATATGCAAGCTCTCCTGGAAGCATTTTAAAGTTGAGAAATGGGGTTAATAATACACTTGCCAATACAATTTAAAGTTACTTAGATGGTAATGTAGTTCAGAATATTTTCATGAAGAAGTATTTTTGTTGATTTAAAAGTACTACATGAAATACTATTAATATTCAAATGGAAGATTTAGAGAAAAAATTAGAAGGTTTTAGTAATGAAGTTTGGCCATGTTCATTTGTAACTTTGGGTAAAAAGTGCATAACACCACCATTAGTAAGAATGCTAAATTAATATTAATAAAATTGAAGCCAATTACAACTTACCTTGATGTAGTGCATTAGAGAATTGGCAAAGAATCTACACAGTTTTATCGTTCTCTGGAATATCTTATAATCAATAATCTCCTATTCAAAAATAAATAAATAAAATAAAATACCTGAAATGTACAGAACTAACAATGTCCTAGAAAAATTATCTAAGTTCAAGTTATATCATTCCCACTCCCCTGGACAAGTCAATTCAGGTAGGAACTGAGGCAACATTTGGGTCTTCTAATCACTGATGTACATGATAATGACAATTTAACATGATCAGAAGAAGTAAGGAGGGAAACACTTGGTTTTATTATGAAATTTGTGGTACAGCTGCTAATGTGCCCCTTTTAGTTGTGTGAATTTAATAATCTAATACAAGTGCTTAAGAATTTTGAAAATAGTTTGAGTTTTAACAAGACCTTTGCTTCCATTGTAGGTCAGGCATTTTATAGCCAGTCTGAAAAAATATATAATTTGTATGCCAGACTATAGCATGCTCAATTTATGAAATCGACATTATTTTTTCCATGAAGTCTCTGCTAAACCACTGCTTCACAGCACCAGATTAAGGCTCGGACCCACATTAGTTAGGACTTGACACTTTTCCTCCCAAGAGATCTGAGAGCATCAGCTTAAGAAAGATGTATTATAATCTATTCACCTGGGTTCCAGACAGTTTCATGTGTTCAGCCAGTTGCAAGCAAGATTGGAAAGAAAACAAGATGTCCTCACAAAGGCCACTAAAGATATCAGAATGTTTCAAACTGTCCTTTATTAAGGATTTGTGCTTGAGAATCTGCCTGGCAAAGACAAATATTCAACAGTTCTTAACAGTTTTCAATAGTTTGGCATCATTCTTTCTAACAATGAACAAGTGTTGATATGGCAACTAGTATATATGGGGAAGATCAGCATCTGTCACTATTGATGCAGACAACATTAGAGGAATTGAAAAAAGATCTTAGTTTTCTCTTTTTTCTTTTTCTTGTACTTCAGGCTTACACTTGTGACAAAATGCCCCGGGTTCACAGATTCATGTTGAGTGATCTAACAGATATTGAATCGACAGTGGTCCTGACTAGATGAATGCAAGTAGCATTTTCTGATCTTAGTCAAGACTGATCAAACTGTAGCATCCAGAAACAGGACTCACATTCTACAAATTGGGAAGGCTCATATACGTGTGGTTTTCCCCCAAAGTTGATTGTAGCTGCTCTCAGAGATGTCTGAGTCTTGGAGTTACAACCTGCTTGGGGCAAGCTTGACAAAACAGATAAACCACACAGTTTTCTTTTGGGGTCATAAGTCAGAACAAATGCTGACTAAAGATCAAGAACTTATTGTCACAGTTTTGCTGTTTTCAAAAAGCATCCTTATAGGCTCTGAAGATTAATCAAATGAGATCACCAGATACCGGATATTCAGAGAATGCTGAAAAACTATCCCAAAAGAACAAGCCATGATCTTACCAGCAGTCAGAAGTGGAAGAAGACGTTTCTGTACATAATACTACAAAATGGGTATTATTCCTGCCCCAAATATGGTATAGGGCAATGGTGGCGAAACTATGACACGCACGCCAGAGGCGGCACTCGGAGCCCTCTCTATGGGCACATGTGCTGTTGCCCCAGCCCCACCTTCCCCCATGACCCCCTACTCACCAGCAGCTCCCTCAGAGAGTCGCCTGAGCGCGGCCCACGCGAAGCAGCGCAGCAAAGCACATGGACCCAGGCAACTGGAACAAGACTCCACCCTCGCACTTCATTGTGCACAGATGATGCTGCAGGATGTGGGCAGAGGGCATGGCCGCCATGGCGCTGCTGGGCCACCATGGCGATCTGCGACAGGTCATGGAGGCGGTGAGTGGCCCTGTGGGTGGGCAGGGCGGGGGCAAAGCAGGCTGGGGGTGGGGACAGAGTGGTGGGATGGGACGAAGCGGGGGTGGTTTTTGGGATCTCAGTCTCTAAAAGGTTCGCCATCACCGATATAGGGTCTCCTGCTCAAGCAAGAGGTTGGACTAGAGTAGACATGTCCAACTCGCGATGTCACGTTATATTGCGCGACGTATTGGAACTTTCCCCCCATTGCCGGCAATGGAATGGGTGTTAGAATCTAATTATAATTCATCTGTAGTTATCAACTATAGAAAACCCCATTTCTGCCTTCTATGGATTCTGTCATACGATGAAGGGAAGGGGGGTGAGCAAAGGGGCTTTATGGCCCTCACTTCCTTCAGTACACTTCAAAGGGACTGGATGTGGATATCACCAAAAGGACTAACCATAACAATGGGGCTATTACCTTTCATGTACTCCTCTCTGAAGTCTCCCTCCAGCCGGCAGTAAGGAAAAGGGGGTGGGAATGTAATGCCTGAGACTGTTGCTGGAAGAAGGGGGTGATTGGGTGGGGCTACTGGGGAACCCCTTAAAACCTTGAATGGGAGAGCTTGGACCCCAAGTCCTGTCTAGAACGCCTGCAACCATTTTCTCTTAATAAAGGATGCCTGTTGGAAGAATTATTCCAAGAGTTCTGTCTTCTTAAGATGCAAAGTGGGGTGGGTCTTTACAATGGGCGTGGTTTCGTTGTGATATGTCTGGCCGCGGGCCGGCAGTTTGACACCCCTGGACTAGAAGACCTCCAAGGTCCCTACCAACCCTGTTATTCTATGTTCTACATCAATAATAAGAACAGTGAAGAACTTTATAATTAGTCAGATGGTCCTGGAAGTCAAATTTAGATTGCTAGCTAGGGAAGAGATTTAGAACAGACAAAAGAATGTACTTCTACCCAAAAACTCGTAAGTTATCTGTGGAATTAATTTAACACAGGATATGGCGATAGCCATTAACTTAGATGGCTTTAAAGGGGTATTAGATACATTCATGGAGGTCTATCAAAGTCTTGAAGACTTAGTAGTCCTCCTACTTGGGAAAATCAAGCCTCTGTACACCAGCTGAAGTGAAACAATGAAGAGAGAAGATAGGTCTACATCTTCTGCTACTGAATACTCCCAACATTCCCCGTGTGCTACTGCAAGATACAGAATGCAGGATGGAAACCCTATCCAATTCCATTTCAAACTCCAGATTATATAATTAATACAATTGATAGCTTAAAATTACCTGATTATAAACTTCCATGTGTTTGCGTGAAGTGCATGATCTATGCTGGAAATAGCAGAACAGATCTCCAGCATAGTGTGAATCACTATAGAGAAAATAAATATAAAAATAAAATGCAAGACAAAAATCAGTATTGAATACAATAGATGGCTATGTTGAATATATAGTCAATGAAGACTTTCTATTACTTTCATGAAATTATCTTTCTTTAACATCAATGTTCATCAAAGAGAATTTGAACATTTAGTGCCATGTACTAATAAAGTGAGATCTGTTTAAAAATACACACCTGATGCCATAATTTTTATGCTGTCTTCAGTAGCACAGGAATTTACAGACAAAATATCCAATAGCATCATAAACTCTTTTTGCAAACTATAGGTCCCCTTAAACAAAGACTGTAGTAAATCAGAAACCATGTGGAAACACTCTGCATATAAAGATTCACTGCTCTGTAGCAAAACAAAAATTCAAAAATAAAATTATTAGATTACCAGATCAGCAGTTGATATGGTCCAAGAAACTTGGAAGCATCTATTCTTCTTTGTCTATTATGGAGCAGCTCCTGCTGGGTCTTTTTTGTCCATAACAGACAAAGAAGAAAACAATAAACAAAGCAATGTTGTCATTCCATACGTTGTAGGAATATCACAAAAGCTCAGGAGAATTTTCAGCCAACACAACATACGTGCACATTTCAAACCCAAGAATACACTAAGGAGAGGTTTGTCCACCTCAAGGATAAAACACCCAGATACAAACTGAGTAATGTGGTAAATGCAGTACAATGCAGTGAGCCATGTATAGATCTGTACATTAGGGAAACCAAACAACCACTTCATAAATGCATGGCACAATATAGGAGAATAAACCCATCAGGACAAAATTCAGCAGTCCATTTGCATTTAAAAGACAAAGGCCACTCTTTCAAAGACAGCAAAGTCCACATTTTGGACAGAGGACCACTGGTTTGAAAGAGGGGTCAAAGAGGCCATCTGTCAAAATTGAACAGCCCTCTCTAACAGAGGGGGAGGGAGACAACATCATCTATCTCTACAACACAGTCCTTTCAGCAAATGTCTATGGAAATTCTCAATCATCCAGGTATGATTGTCCCAAAGGTGCTTTTTTCAGGAGGCAACTGACTTTATTTTTTCTTGAAGACGTTTCATTTATTATCCAAGAAGCTTCCAGTACTTCTTGGATAAGAAGCGAAATGTCTTCAAAGAAAAAACAAGGAAGTCCAATTGCCTCCTGAAAAAAGCACTTTTGGGGCAACCATACCTGGATGACTGAGAATCTCCATAGACATTTAGCTATGCACTTTGGGATGGACACCCTTCGAATGGTGCGAGAGTATGAACGGATTTCCAGAAAACACTGCAGACTACAGGAACCATTTGTGCTTCAGTTTGAGATTCAGACAACAGACACATCCCCAACCGCCTGCGCCTGTCTTTAATAGTGAAGGGACAAAGGGCAGAAAAAAACATCTTGCAGCCAAGAAGGCTTGGCACACATTTGCACTACTCAGGACACAGGTAAACGTCCAAATGGTCCCAACGACTCTCTAAAAGAATGCAAATGACCAGCTGTCTGCAAGCAATACAAATCCTTTCATTTCCCTCCATCTACCGTGTTTCCCCAAAAATATGACCTATCCCAAAAATAAGCTCTAGCTTGACTTTTATGTGTGTTTCTAATATAAGCCCTACCCCCCCCAATAAGCCCTATTTAAGAGCCTGCACAACTGGCAGCCTGCCCAGTCCATCACACCGTCTGGTTGTTTGTAGTGCTGCTGCCATGGGGTGAGACAAGGCAGGTGGGGGGGTGGAGTGCACCATGCACCCCCACCCACTTACCTGAGGGCCCTCGCAGCCAGGCCTCCCATGTCCCAACACCTGCCTCGCCTTGTGGCAGTGGCACCAACAGCTCCATCCAGCAGGAGCCCGCATGGCCACCAGCTGACTTCTGCTTGCAGCAAGAGGCCACACAGCATGTCAGTACACCGCCACAAGGCGAAGCAGGTGGGGAGGTGGAACTGCCCCACACACCCTGTACCCACTTATCACAGGGCCCCTACAGCCAGGCCTCCCATGCCTAATCCTAACCCCTACTCCCCTCCCAGGGCAACCACAATGCTTAATTCCAACCCTAACCCACAATGAAATCAAGTTTGATGCCCTAATTTAATGGTAGATTTAGGGAACAATATTTTGACCCCCAGACAAGATGAGTGCAAAAAGAAAGAGCTATTCCGTAATGTTCAAGACAGGAATTGTGGAGGACTAATGGGGCAAGAACCTTATTGCTTTCTGCAAAGGGAAGTTGGATTTCATATGGTCTGAAAATGGTGAGTAGAGTACGATAACCTCAGTCAATAGGTGGACAAGGGAAATGCTAAGAAGCACAAGTGTGGATCAGGTGAGCAGCCATTATTTTCTGAACTGGAAGACAAATCTGTGAATGGATTGCTGAAAGGAGAGCAAAGGTTTGGTTGTGCCAGGGCTGATATTCAAGCATTTGGCCTTGCAATGGCACCACAGTTAGAAATATCCCCAGAAGAATTTAAAGCACCACAACACAGGCTGGATGGCTTCCTTCAGCGATATGAACTGTCTCTTAAGAAGATTGACAACACTGTTCAAGCTGCAAGACACTGAACTTATTAAACGTGCACTTGCATTCAAATCCTTTGTTGATGGCATCAACTTTTCTAAATACCAACATGATTGCTATAGATGAAATTGCAATGTTTATGGGCCAAGGATCTCAAATGATAATTGATCAGAGGGGTGCCTCGTCAATCTACATTCCCTCTACTGGTTGCAAAAGTGCACGTGTTACCTGTATTTTGGCAATTCATCTGGATGGAAACAAAGCCCCACCTCTAATCATCACTAAGGGCAAGAAATATAAGATTGAACGTGTTTCAGGAATTTTGTGTTCTTGAAACCGAAAAAGCCTGATGTGCACAAGCAGTTATAAGGAAGTGGATCAATTTAATGCTTTCACTTGTTCTGCGAAGTAGCAAAAGAGATCTGCTAGTCTGGGATTCAGCCAGCACTCACTGCTCTAAAAACATGAAGCAGTTCCTTGCAGAGAGAAGAATAGATTAAATAATGATTCCTGCAGGAATGACTGCCTATCTCCAGACTCTTGATATTGCAATAAACAAGCCATTCAAGGACCATTTGCACAGGGAAATCAATGACTACATTAAACACAGAATGAAGAGAAATCAGTGTGGAAACTTTGTGAAGCCTAGTCTGCCAGAGGTCGTGACTTGAGTGAATAATTTGTGGGATAAAATCACTGACAGCTGTGTTGCCACTGCACTATGAGCAGGCTACATGGCAAAAAAGTGCTCATTTAAGGAGCTCTATTGCTGGACATAAGAGATTGGGGCCAATGTTTCTACAGGAAATGGAGTCACAAGATATTCAGGCCAGGTTTGGACAGTTATGACAATGTTCCAGAAGATAACGACATGACTGTATTTGAATAAATGTAGATTGTTGTACATCAGCATTGTGATTGCCCTGGAGGTGGTGGTTTTAGGCATTGTGAGCTAGGGTTAGGTTAGGCATTGTGGTTGCCCTATAAGGGGAGGGGGGGTAGGAATTGTGGGTTAGGGTTAGGCATTGTGGTTGCCCTGGGGGAGGTAGGCATTGTGGGTTAGGGTTAGGCATTTTGGTTGCTGAACAATGGGGATTCTGGACCACTTTCATTTCTATTATACCAGACAGCAGGAGGACCAAGAGAATTCAAGCAACGGATCCACTCATGGGCCGTTTCCATTATGACCCCTCCCCCATGACTGTCCCGTTTGGCTGGAGCACCTGCATCGCATAAACTTTTGCTCCACATGACTTGGACATCTGTCCAGTGAATCTTCGGCACCGAAAAACTCATGTTGCCTTCCTTCTATCCAAGGCGGCAGCAGCAGGAATGGGCGGGAGCATTTCTCCCTCTTCCAGGGAGATCCTGGACAGGAACACCCCCCCCCCCATGCCAGCCTGCTCTCTTACCCCTCTGCATAAGCAGGGACTGGCCCTGGTATGGCGCCACAAGGGATAACTCACCAAATGTCCCAGGCTCCTGTCCCTGCAGCCAATCAGTGTGCCGAGAGGTGGGCCTCTGCCTTCCATCGGATGACACTGGCCAGGACGTTGGATAAGGCAGGCAGTGGGACTGCAAGCGGTGGGCTTTTGGCTGTGTGCAGCAGGCAGGGAACGCGGCACCTGAAGCACCTCTTTCTGGACTTTCTCTGGGTGTGGTGCACTGAAGGTAGCGCCCTACTCACTTCCCATGAAGAACCCGTGGTCAGCCGGAAAAAAAAAACCCTCAGGTCTTACTGCTGGAGTCCAAAGGAAGTGAGTGGCCACAGAAGTGGGCCGGCAGCCACACGGGCTCCTGTTGGTGCCGCCATTGCGAGGTGAGGCAGGTGTCAGGGTGTGGGAGGCCTGGCTGCAGGGGCACTGAGGTAAGCGGGTGGTGGTGTGTAGGCAGCTCCACCCCCTTCCCCACTTGTCTCACCTCATGATGGTGGCACTGGCACAACGTGCCGCATGGCTTCCTGCAAGCGGCTACAAGTGGCCGTGAGCAAGCAGAAGAAGTGGGCCTCCTGTACATGGAAAAACTAGGACATTCCCTGAAAATAAGACCTAATGCCTCTTTCGGAGGCAAAAAAATGTAAGAACGAGTCTTATTTTGGAAAAATATGGTAGTCAGAACTGAAGAAGCTTCTTGGATGAGGTGAAATGTCTTCAAAGAAAAAGCAAGGAAGCCTCCTGAAAAAAAAAAAAAACCTTTGGGACAGTTCTTTCAGCAGTTCCAAGAAGTCTCTACGCCCATTTGCTCTACTCAGGTGATCCTGATGATATAGATAAACCTCCAGGTGGCCTCAATGACTTTCTAAATTGAATGCAAATGACCAGCTGTCTACAAGGAATATAAATGCTTCCATTCCCCACCATCCAGTCAGAGCCTGGATGAGAAGCAAAACATCTTCAAAGAAAAACAAGAAGCTCCAGTTGCCTCGTGAAAAAGCACCTTTGGGATAACTATGACCTGGATGACTGAGAATCTCCACAGACACTTCACCAGTTTTGAATCTGTCAGCTCATTTTCAAAACATAGTCTCACTAACCTTGCAGTGTAGAAATGCATTCTTGATTACATGAAGAACAGAAGAGGGAAGGCTATAGATATGTTCTAAGGGTACCATCTCCTGTCTACTACAAATGTGTTGCACACAACCTGTTATTACTTCTAACATATGTATCAGGGCCTGTAAGAAAAAATATTAATAAAAGAATCAATAAATGTTGCAAAAAGAATATTGCAGCATAAATATGATGTCTTAAAATTATCAACTTAACTGTTAAATTTTTACTTCAAAGAAGAATAACAAAATAAATACTTTGGACATCAATATTTTTAATAAGTTTTAAAATATATATCTCCATGTTTAGCCATTCTACAAAGATATAATGATTTGTTTACATCTAATGATGTCAGCTAAACAAAGATCAAACTGATTTTGTTTCTTTGCAAAGGCAATGTTTAAACTTGAGAATATGTATGAAAAAATATTTTTTATTAGTTCAGTGGCAGGTTCAACCTACAGTAAGTTGATCTTAACAATATAGCTGCCTTGGGCAGAAAAACATTCATCTGAAAAATCCAGCAACTCAAGAGAAAAAAGTAGCAGTTGCAATTAATTGCTTTTTCTGAAATTACATGTTATTAGCAAATTATTAGACAAACTAAGGACTGCTGGTTTGTCATTTCAAAGATACCATATTTTCCAGCATATAAGATGACTTTCCAAAGCATGCAAATTGGCTCCAAAGTTGGGGGTTGTCTTATATGCCGAGTCGTCTTATATGCCAAAAAATACGGTATCTCCTTATCTAAACAGAATAACTAAGGACAAAACAGTGGTGATAACAGGAGCAACTTCTAACTTCCTGCTGGCTTAACCACAGCTGACTGCCCTCCAACAGCCAATGGTGGGACTGGTCTACCCCACCTCTAGTTGACTAGAGCATGACTGGTCTGCTGAACCTCTGGGTGGCAGTATTGCAGCACTGAAGGCGCCACAAATTTGTCAAATTTCAATTCCACAGGAGTCATGGGCCCCAGATTTTGGATGCGTTCTGTAATCTAGGCCATTTGGGGTACCTTGGTTCAAAAATTGTTGCCCTATGATGCACAGTTTCATTCAGTTAAAGGTTATACACATGAGAGTTTTAGTAGTTATATAAATTACATTTAGTACCATGTTTCCCCGAAATTAAGACTCGGTCTGATATATATTTTTGCCTCCAAAAGAGACACTAGGTCTTAATTTCAGAGATTTCATGTCTTACCTTAGGACTACCGCAGCCAGGCCTCACACGCCCCAACATCTGTTGTGCCGCTGCTTGACTTCTGCAGCCTCTTGCCGCCGCCTGTGCCCGGACGCCATGCGTTGCATAGCGCTATTGCCACTCCGCCTGGCAGGATGCCACATGGCATTTTGGACCATTGCCACTGCTCATGTGCTTTGGGCCACTTCCGTGCTTGCACAGCTCTTTGGGCTGCTTCGGCTGCTTGCCCAGCACTTAGGGCTGCTTCTGTTGCTCACGCGCTTCAGGCTGCTTCTGCTCCTTGCACAATGGGAGGACATTGCATGGCTCTTTGGGCCATTTTCATAGCAGAAATGGCCCAAAGCACCACGTGATCTACTGCCACGAGCAACAGAAGCAGCCCGAAGTGCTGCGCAAGCAGCCCAAAGCGCCATGCGGCATCCTGCTAGAAGGAGTGGCAACGGAGCAATGTGCCACATGGCATCAGGCCACAAGTGGCGGCAAGAGGCTGCAGAAGTCAAGCAGCGGAATGACAGGTGTTGGGGCATGGGAGGCCTGGCTAAGGTGGTTCTACTGGTAAGGTAAGTGGATATGGGGCGCATGGGCAGCTTCACCCCCCTACCCCTATCCTACCTTGATTTTTAGGAGTGTGCCCTAAAGCTTTGGAGTAAAGCTTATATTATGGCCACCCCAAAAAATCAAATTAGGGCTGGGTCTTTCAGGGAAACACAGTAATTATATATTGTGGGGGTTACTGAGAAACTGGAAAATTACTCAATTATATTTTTTTCAGTTTATAAAGATATTTACAGTAGGTTCTTGTCTTCACAACATGAGAGCAAAATCTAAACCCTATAGAAGTTTCACTAGGAACTGAATGTTGTCCATTCGTCTGGAATGGTATAGGACAGAGGTGTCAAACTCAATTTCATTGAGGGCTGCCTCAGCATTGTGGTGCTCTCGGGGGTAGGGCAGGGGAGCATGGCCCATTGGGTGAGTGTGGCTGCGGTGGTCATGACAGACTGGGTGGGTGTGGCCACCTTGATGTTGCTCGTGGGGGGACGCCTATGGGGACCGGGCAGGGGAAGATCCAGGAGGTCTCTGGTGGGTGGGGCGGTGGGCAGGAGGTTCATCCTGCAGGGCAAGGCAAGGCAGGGCAGGGGTTCCATTTCGGTAGGGCAAGGCAAGGTGAGGCAGGGGCCGTGGCTACTGCTGCCTGACACCATTGGCCCCTGCACACAGAGGCCAGCGAGTGCTTGGGGGCCAACGGTGTCTGTCAGCAGCCACAGCCTGCCAGCCCCTCGACCAGCACACTCTGAGGCTCTGCAGCCTGCTACGAATACTGGGCCAGCCCTCTAGCAGCAGATGGAGTAGAGGAAGGGGGAGGCACGTGATGCAGACCGTCAGACGCACCTACTCCGTCCCATATATTTTTGCTTGTGGTTGGAGAGCAGGTTGCTGCTGGTCATCTCCTTGGCCCCCTCGCAGATCTTGCCATTAGCCTGTGTGTGGAGCCTGTTTCCCTCATGCACATAACATACTTTGGCCCCATCTTGGGCTGCCGTCGCCAGCAGCTCGCACAGGTCCATTAGGCCACTGCCACTGCCTGGACCATCTGGCCGCCCAGCACAAAGGAGGTGAAACAGCTGGCTAGCAAGCTCGAGTAGGAGGTGATAGAGCATGCCCAGGGCCAGCAAGCAAAAGGCCACCCCAAGCGGGGAAAGCCGGATCCCCATCGGTGCCAGGGCCCCCCAGTCCCAGCTAGGATTGCGTGTCTCCCCCCCATCTCTGCTGGGCCTGGGCGGCCATGATGCCAATGGGAATCTGGCTTTCCCCACTTGGGGTGGCCTTTTGCCTGCTGGCTCTGGGCATGCTCTACCACCTCTACTCGGGCTTCCTAGCCGACCGCTTCGCCTCCTTTGTGCTGGGTGGGCCTGCAGCTCTTGGCGATGGCCTAATGGACTTGTATGAGCGGCTGGCGGCTGGTACTGAGGTCCGTGAGGGGAATGCGCTCCACCTGTAGGCCAAGAGCAAGACTCTCAAGTGGGCTGAGATGACCAGTGGTGACCTGCTCTCCAATCAAAGAGCTGGGACAGAGTAGATATGTCCAGCGATCCGCATCACATGCCCCCCCCCCGACTCCGCATGCTGCTGGAGCACTGCTGCTGGAGGGCTGGCCCAGTATTCACAGTGGGCTGTGCAGCCTCTGCTGCCAGATACCGTCGGCCCCTGTGTGCTCACTCTCTCCTGTGCGCACGCCTTGGGGTCTGCCGGGCTGGCCAGGGCAAGGGCGGCGGGGGCCAGTCCCTCGCCATCTCCAGGTCATCCCCAGGGGCCAAATATCGGCCAATTGTAAGCCGGATCCAATCTGAAGGCCTTGTGTTTGACATGTCTAGTATAGGAGCTCCTGCCATGGGGAGGAGATTGGACTATAAGATCTCCAAGTCTCTTCCAACCCTATGATTCTATTTCAAAGCATACAGCATTAATGGTTCTCCTTATATTTTTAGCCTGGATGAGAATAGGCAGAAGCACATCAAATATTAATAAAAATCTGCAAAATATGTTCAACACATTTCAGTTTTTACTTTACTAAAAATCAAGACAATTCACAATTGACTCTTACATTTTTTTCATCCAAAAAATAATGGGAATAGATACAGATGCCTTTTAAACAGCCATAGACACATTATATGCAACAGGACAAAAACAGCAACTGCTCATACATTTTCAGTGGATTTACTTTTTGTAGTTGGTATAAATTAGCCCCAAAATCTTAAAATTGTATATAAAAAAAGATATGGACAATTCTTTGAGCTAGATTTACCTGAAGATTGTTTCTTAATATCATGTTTAACTGTACATTCTTATCTGTTAACCTTTTGACTTCATTGGATATTTCATATAATAAAAGGTCAAATAATTCTACGGTCTGTTTGAACAAAAACAATCACAATTAAAACAATATTAACTGAAAGCAATAAATTAAATACAAACGAAACATGATTTGTTATAAAATGGGATGACATTTACTACCCTTGATAGCTTTTAACAAATACAAGAGAAATTCAAGTTATGTAGTGGTTATCAGCCAGGACACTCAAACAAAAAGTCTTCATATAAGCAGACACTGGATTAAGATATCCTATTTAAGTTCCTTCAGAGATCTCTAGAAAGAAACTAAAGAGCATGAGCATTAGGGAACAGGAGTCCCAGCTTTTATTTTCTTGCAGTGCAATAGCACAGCACTACAATAGAAGCTCCAAATTTAACAGACAACTTGGCAGAGAAAGAGGAGGGCCAAGGGGCCATAGGGGGATAGCTAGCAAATACTAAACAAAATTCCAGCTGCATATGAATTATTGTAGCTTTTTTAGATTCCAGCCAATGCTTAGCTAAATTAAATTTGGTTGATCCCACAATACACTTTTTATATTGTGCTTAGGTATATAGATATTTACATAATCTTTTTATTAAAGAAGCATATGGGTAGCCCTCAATCTATGACCATAATGGAGCCTGCCCATTACGGTTGCAAGTGGTGACAACCATTAAGTATGTCTACCTTGCTTAATGGCCGTCATCTCTTGCTCTGATGCTGAAGTTAAATGAACACATGGGTCTTTAAGCGAGCATGGGTGGAGGTAGCCCTGGGAGGCCCAGAACCAGCTGGGTCCATAAAGGAGGCAGACAAGCAACAAAAAGTTTGCAAAGTCAAAAGCAGCCCAGCAGGGGGAGGAACCCAGGTAGATTAGTGCCTAGCATTGCATTCCAATGCCCAAGAGGCTTCTAAACAAGCCTCTATGCTTAGGCAACAAAGGGGCTGGGTGATAGGTGGTGGGCTGGGCCTCTGCCCCAATTAGGTGGCCATCGGGAGACTGCAAACCTTTCCTGGCCCTTGCTAGCTTTTGAAGAAGCCAGCCACCTGCATACATAGGCAAGAGCTTCAGGAAGAGCTTCCCCAAACCTTTCCCTAGCTTAACCCCCTCCCTACACCAGAAACCCTTTCAATAAAGAAAACAGGAAAAAAAGCAAGGAAGACAGACTCACTGATCTAAATGGAAGATTGTAAGTGGAAATCTATGAACATAGCCAGTAGTTATTAGAGCCAGTAGTTATTAGTTAATGCACCAGGCTAGAAACAAGGAGACTGTGAGTTGTAATCCTGTCTTAAGCACAAAGCCAGATGGGTGACTTTGAGCTATTCACTTTCTCTCAGCCCTACAAAGGAGGCAATGGCAAATCACTTCTGAAAAACCTTGCCAAGAAAACTTCAATAACTTGTCCAGGAAGGCAAGATGGAAAGGTGCATATGTATGTGCATGCCTGCACACACACACTAGTTATTAATTCACACTTTTCAGCTCATAACATACAATATCATACCTTTGGAAATATTTTGGAAAAAAAAACTTTCTCCAATTCTGAAAGTTTTATGTGAGGTAGAAATCTCTCTGTCAGAATCCTTAAGACATCTGTAAATAAGTACATTTAATAAAATCATAAATCCAAGGTTTATATCTGAGTTAGGAGTCTCAATGTGACATTTTACAGCTTTTAACTACAAATATGGAAATACTAAACAGATTTTTATCTAAAAGAAAATGATTTATAAGAGTATGAAAAGCAATACTGAGATACAATCTCCAAAATGACAGAATGATCTCAGTGCGAATCCAAGGCAAACTATTCAATATCACAGTAGTCCAAGTCTATGCCCCAACCACTGATGCTGAAGAGGATGAAATTGACTGGTTCTATGAAGCCCTACAGCACCTTATAGAATTAACACCAAAAATTGATGTTCTTATCATCATGGGGGATTGGAATGCTAAGGTAGGAAGCCAAAAGATAACCGGAATAACAGGCACGTTTGGCCTTGGAGTACAAAATGAAGCAGGGCACAGGCTGATAGAATTTTGTCAAGAGAATACAATGGTCATAACAAACACTCTTTTCCAACAACCCAAGAGACGGCTCTACACATGGACATCACCAGACGGTCAACATAGAAATCAGATTGACTATGTGCTCTGCAGCCAAAGATGGAGAAGCTCTATACAGTCAGTAAAAACAAGACCAGGAGCTGACTGTGGCTCAGATCATGAGCTTCTCGTTGCAAAATTTAGGCTTAAATTGAAAAAAGTAGGGAAAAGCACTAGGCCACTCAGGTATGAACTAAATCATATTCCTGATGAATATATAGTAGAGGTGACAAATAGATTTAAAGAATTAGATCTGATAGACAGAGTGCCTGAAGAACTATGGATGGAAGTTCGCAACATTGTACAAGAGGTAGCAACTAAAATCATCCCAAAGGAAAAGAAATGCAAGAAAGCAAAATGACTGTCTGAGGAAGTTTTGCAAATAGCTGAGGAAAGAAGAGAAGTGAAAGGCAAGGGAGAAACAGAAAGATACACCCAACTGAATGCAGAATTCCAGAGAATAGCTAGAAGAGATAAGAATGCCCTCTTAAATGAACAGTGCAAAGAAATAGAAGAAAACAATAGAATAGGGAGGCCCAGAGATCTCTTCAAGAAAACTGGAGATATGAAGGGAATGTTTCATGCAAAGATGGGCATGATAAAGGACCAAAATGGCAGGGACCAAACTGAGGTAGAAGAGATTAAGAAGAGGTGGCAAAATTACACAGAAGAACTATACAAGAACGAGCTTGGTGTCCCCGATAACCATGATGGGGTGGTCACTGACCTCGAGTCAGACATCCTAGAATGTGAAGTGAAATGGGCCTTAGGAAATCTGAGTAACAACAAAGCTACTGGAGGTGACAGTATTCCAGCTGAGCTATTCAAAATCTTAAAAGACGATGCAGTAAAAGCGCTACACTCAATTTGCCAGCAAATTTGGAAAACACAACAGTGACCACAGAATTGGAAAAGGTCAGTTTACATTCCAATTCCAAAGAAAGGCAATGCCAAAGAATGTTTAAACTATCGCACCATTCACATGCAAGTAAAGTTATGCTTAAAATCCTACAAGTTAGACTCCAGCAGTATGTGGATTGAGAACTTCCAGAAGTACAGGCAGGATTTTGAAGAGGCAGAGGAACTAGAGATCAAATTGCCAACATATGCTGGATGATGGAGAAAGCTAGGGAGTTCCAGAAAAACATCTACTTCTGCTTCATTGACTATGCTAAAGCCTTTGATTGTGTGGATCACAACAAATTGTGGCAAGTTCTTAAAGAGATGGGAGTACCAGACCATCTTATTTGTCTCTTGAGAAACCTATATGCGGGTCAAGAAGCAACAGTGAGAACTGGACACGGAACCACTGATCGGTTCAAAATTGAGAAAGGAGTCAGGCAAGGCTGTATTTAACTTACATGCAGAGCACATCATGAGAAACACAGGGCTAGATGAATCCAAAGTTGGAATTAAGATTGCTGGGAGAAATATCAAGCACCTAAGATATGCAGATGATACCACTCTAATGGCAGAAAGTGAAGAGGAACTAAAGAGCCTCTTGATGTGGGTGAAGAAAGAGAGTGCAAAAGTTGGCTTGAAACTCAACATTAAGAAAACCAAAGTCATGGCATCCGGCCCTCTCAATTCCTGGCAAATAGGGAAGAAATGGAGGTAGTGACAGATTTTACCTTCCTAGGCTCCAAGATCAGTGCAGATGGGGACTGCAGCCAAGAAATTAAAAGACGCTTACTCCTGGGGAGGAAAGCTATGGCAAATCTAGACAGCATACTAAAAAGCAGAGACATCACCCTGCCAACAAAAGTACGTATAGTCAAGGCCATGGTTTTCCCAGTTGCAATGTATGGCTGTGAAAGTTGGACCATAAGAAAGGCTGAGCACCAAAGAACTGAGGCCTTTGAACTATGGTGCTAGAGAAGACTCCTGCAAATCCTCTGGACTGCAAGGCGATCAAAGTAGTCAGTCCTAGAGGAGATCAACCCTGACTGCTCTTTAGAAGGCCAGATCCTGAAGTTGAAACTCAAAATACTTTGGCCACCTAATGAGAAGGAAGGACTCACTGGAGAAGAGCCTAATGCTGGGAAAGATTTAGGGCAATAGAAGAAGGAGACAACAGAGAATGAGATGGCTGGATGGAGTCACTGAAGCAGTAGGCGTGAGCTTAAATGGACTCCAGAAGATGGCAGAGGACAGGAGGGCCTGGAGAAACGTTGTCCATGAGGTCACGATGGGCCGGACACGACTTCGCAACTAACAACAATAAGCCAAAATAATGAGAATGATAAAAGATTGCAATTCTAAGCATCCTGATCCTGCAAAAAAGGCAACATCTTTTCAGAAACCTGAGAGTATGGAGCTGTTATTGTCTAAGAAATGTAATATTCTTCGTGTATTAAGCAGAGTTTTAGATAAACATTTTATGATGCTTAGAATTTGTAGTTATATTTAGAATTTGTCTTATCCTCATACAGTAAATATATATTGCCAGAGGGGTCCTTGGTGCTCTCTGAACTTGGTTTTCCTGCAGATGTTGCATTACCCAAACTAGGCAACATCATCAGTGACTAGTACTGATGCAATTACCTAGTTTGGGTAATGAAACACCTGCAAGAAAACAATAAAGCTCAGAGAATACCAAGGACCCCTCATTTCAACTCTGAGCTACAAATATTCTCCTTTATTGAATACTTTGCTGCCTTCATTTTGTATTCCCATATGGCATGTTTACTGAAAAATCTTCCATTTTCTCTGAAACATTTAACTATGAAGATCTAACAAAGTAGGATAAATACATTTATAGTTTCTTCGGTATTATTGACTGAAGGAAGAAAGAGATGGTTGATAGAATAATTTAGTTTGGTTGGCTCTAAGCTCTCATATTTAGATGTTCATTTGAGAAATTCTAAATTTCTATAAGCAGAGTGATTCCAGAAAAGGTCTCGCTGACATAAATATAACAATGTCCACACATCAGATGGCAGGTGAGATATACCTCCTGGGAGATACAAAGATGGAAAAGCACCAGCTTTGGTCTGCTTGCCTTGCCCAGATTTTGTGTTATCCAAAGCTTGGAACCACCAAAATGTTATGGTAAATTGTGGCTGACCTGAGACAATTTCTCAGAACCTCCAGACCACAATGATTTGATCTGGGTTCAAAATAAATCTGTTTTGTGCATATTCATAGTATTTAATAATTACAAATAAAGGAATTAAGCATACTTAAAAAGTCTATACAACAACTACTTACCTATATGCTGAATCCCACTGTCAGTTGCCTGATATAAAGAGTACAAATATTAAGAAAAATAGCATATTCATATCTTAAAATAAAGTTGAGCTTTATCAACATCTGAGCACGCTAATTTAATTCACAGTATATACTAATGGTTCTGCTTTCAACTAAACTACAGTACAATTTAAGCTATATTGGCTACACCAATTGAGATTACTACTTCCAAATAAAAATGTGTGTTGCTTGGAGAGGGGGTGTTGTCTTACCTGAATGCCTTACCTTGTCTGTTTCCCTCCCATTGGGACAGTGAGGCTTTGGTATGTCCCATTGGTGGATTCTCCATCTCCTGTGCAGAGAGATGGAGAATCCACCAATGGGGTTTGCTCTGTCTTCCTGCTCTTGAGACCAAGTCAGCCAAACTTGCCACGCCCGTTGCTAGGAGAACCCAGTCTTGACCAGGGCGAAAGCGGCTGACGACAGTCCAAAGTGTTGGCTCTCAGACTCCTAATCCTGGCCTAACTGACCCTAAGGGTGGGAGTGGATTCTCCATCTCCGTGCACTTCATCTTAAAATAATGTATAGGATTTCTTTTTGATTTTCAATTATTTGTTTTAATTTGTTTTATTTTCCTTTTTAATTCTGGGTGATGATAATGGACAAACTTCCCTGGATAGATTATTTTAAGGACAACATATAATTAGCTATAATGGGGGATAGGAAGTGTTTTAATACTGTATATCTTAGAGACCAACCAATCCCAATATCCAAGCAGATCCTTGAGTCAGAAGGTGATATTTAGGATACTTTTTCCCAGTTGTTTAAGGTTTTACAAATCAAAATCAGCATTGTGAATTACATTTGAAAGCGGGTGAGAGATCAGTATGATTATAACTGTATAAAGATAGATAGATAGATAGATAGATAGATAGATAGATAGATAGATAGATAGATAGATAGATAGATAGATAGATGGACAGACCTTTGCCATTTTTACTGCAAGCACACTAGCACACATTAAAAATGATAGTCTGTTGCTTGCTCTCAAAAGTGTACATATACATAATACACATATAGACATGCTATATACATACATTTGTATATACCTACACCCTTATACATAAAACATATAAATATTAATCACTGTCCATCTTGAATACATAGCGGAAAGAGGAAGCTTGAGAGTTCACAAGGTTGATACTGTATGGAACAAAACTGTGACTGAATCTGGATGTTCTGCTTCAGATACCACAAAGCCTCCTCCCAGAAGGTAACAAGTTGTGTAGTGTCCCAGATAATTCTGCGGACCATGCTCAAGCATCGCTTATATGCTCTGTCCTGGATAGAAGGGAGTGAACTGCCAATAATCTTTTCTGCCATCCTCACCACTCTGCACAACCTTCCTGTCTGAAGCAATGATGCTTCCAACCCAGACTGTAATGCAATATGACAGGATGCTCTTGATCATCCCTCTATAGAAAGTGGTAAGGATAAGGAAAGGAAGATGTACTTTTCTCATGCAACACAGAAAATGCAGGCAGTGTCTTGCTATTGAGCAACCAAGCCAGCCTACTTGTTAGCTGCACACCCAGAAATTTCATGTTGCTAACCATCTCCACAGGTGAATCATTAATACGCCTTTTCTGAAATCAACAATGATCTCTTTAATTTTTCCAATGCTTAAAACTGGGCTGTTTTTACTATACCAATTCACCAAACCCTCTACCTCCTTGGGGTAAGCACCTTGTAGTAAAATAGATGAGATCTGCTCTCAGTTGATAAGCATGGGGCTATATTTTCTAATAGTCACTGTTTCTGAACCATTCCCAGGTGCAACATTTTACATCTTTGCATTTAACAATTACAGTAACGACCAAACAAAAATGTCAGGCACAAAACAAACAAAGAGACTTCAGTGGTAACTTCAACATTAATGCACTGAAATAAGAACCATGCTCTAATAAAATGTTGCTTCCAAATTCTATTCTGTGGCTAAAAACATTGGTGTCAATAAACATTACTTACTGGTCATGGAATATGTTGCATGTCTTTTGTTTCTGTCATAATATAGTGAAAATATCAGTTAAATATTGTTAAATGTTAAAGTTTTTAGTATATTTAAGATGTGTGCTTTACAACTAGTTTTATGAAGGACTCTGGAGGATTAAAAATGTACCTATTTGATTTACATGCCCTTCTACTCAAGGCAGCAAACAAAGGCAAAAACAAAAACAGGAATTTAAAAATATAAACATGATCATTTTAAAATCAAAAAGCAATTCGACTGATAATATGGTAAATAAAGCTGTATATTTTTCTATTACACTGCAGGTACCTAAAAAAAGACATGTCTTTTCTATATCATTGTATATATAAATTAGGGAATCATCTTGCTTTCTCTAAAACTATATTACCGTATATTCCGGTGTATAAGACGACTGGGCATATAAGACGATCCCCAACTTTTGAGAAGATTTTCATGGTTTAGAAAGTCGTCTTATACGCTGGAAAATACAGTAATTTAAAAGGTATATACTGACCACCAGCCATGCAATTGTATTATAGCTATTATCTTTTTGGAATTTTGAAATATACTTTTTCACCATAGTTTCAATTTCTAATGCAATTAATGCTTTTTAGGAAAAAGGAAACACGGTAACCACAAAATACCAGTTAAAAAAATTAATATTTTCCAAAAATGGGTGACTCTTTGACACAGGTTTTATATAGTTTTTTTAATATCATCTTGTGTTGCCCCTTTTATTTGCATTTAATCTTAAAAGTGACAGGGAAAAAACCTGCATGCTGAATTGGAACTATATTTAATGGTTCTACCACAGCAGTGCCTATTGCTAAAGAAAAAACTTGCCTCCAGGCGTCTCACACCCCCCCCCCCCCGCAGCTCCTTCGTGGGATTCTCCGTCAGGCAGAAGAACAGCGGCGGCCTGGATGCCTGGATTCCCCGGCGGGGGTGGTGGTGGTGGAAGTGTTTCCAGGACAACAGAAGCCTTGTTTTATTGGCATATTGGCGTGGGACACTTAAACTCTCATCCGGACAGCCAATCCCCACGCCAAGGGGTGAGGAGCTTGCTTTGATGTACTCGTAAGTGGTCGAGGGGGGGCTGCCACCCCTGCCCCCACAATGACAGTTAATAACAATCCGATCAGGCTTCGCTGCATGGCTGCACCCCCTTCCCCCACGTACTTTGTTCTGGTGCCTTTGGAGAGAGAGAGAAGGGAGAGAAAGCACGCGCACGTGTGTGTTTATGTGTGTGTGTGTGAGAGAGGGAGGGCTCCCCTTTTTGTAAGTTTGCTTGCTCCGCCTGCGAGGCTCTCTGTTCCCCACACTTTTGCTGGCCAGCACGCCTTCCTCTTCCCTTTCCCTCCTGGCTCGCCTTCCTGTGTCCAAGGTGGCCTACGCATTGCCGTGCGAATTGGCAGCCCGGATGCTCGTTTAAATGTCCCCTGCAGCCAAATAGCCCTGGAAAACGGCAGGGAGAAAGAGGCAGAGCTAGAAGGCCCGCCTGGGGTGAGCCGTGGTAAGGCACGTAAAAGCAGCCCAATTACCTCGTCCCATTCCACCCTGGGAAATATTTCTGTGTCTACCGAAAACCGCCACTCTGCGGTGCAAAGAGCTGCTGCGCTTAAAATGAAATAATTTCTGGGGATGTTCTTGTTCCTCTAATGGCCCCACTTGCAAAATTCTTCATTGCAAATCCAATTCTTATAACTGAACCGTTTGTGGCCAACCTCTTTGGTTTCTTTTGGTACCCGTATTTTCCGGCGTATATGACGACTGGGCGTATAAGACGACCCCCAACTTTTGAGAAGATTTTCATGGTTTAGAAAAGCATCTTATACACTGGAAAATATGGTAATAGAATGCACTGTTGAAAGTGAGCAAATGAACAGGAGGTGCAAATAAGCAAGCCAATAAGATTGAAGCAGGAGTTTAGAAACCAGTGCCAACACCATGAGATGGGGAGAGGCAGACACCAATCTTGTGTCCTTGTTCCCATCCATGTGTACAATATAGAATTCATTCCTGTTCAGTGAGGTCAGGTGCATGCTTCAATCTCTTTTAATTCCCTCCAGGTAGAAAGCTATGATAACAACCTCCTCCATCCATGGGGGTCTCAGAAAAATCAGAACCTCGAAAGGGAATAGAACAGAACAGAAGCTGGAAGGACCTTGGATGTCTTCTAGTCCAGCCCCCTGCTCAAGCAGGAGAACCTATATCATCTCAAATAAGTGTCTAGCCTCTTTTTAAAAATCTCCAGTGATGGAGCACCCACGATTTCTGGAGGCAAGCTGTTCCACTAGTTAATTGTCCTCACTGTCAGGAAGTTTCTCCTTAATTCCAGGTTGCTTCTCTCTTTGATCAGTTTCCAACTATTGTTTCCTGTCCTGCCCTCGGGTGCTTTGGAGAATAAAGTGACCCCCTCTTCTTTGTGGCAGCTCCTCAAATACTGGAATACTGCTATCATGTCTCCCCTATTTCTTCTTTTCTTTAGAGTAGCCCACGGGTTGGCAACCTGCGGATCCAGAGCCACATGTGGCTCTTTGAGCCTTCTCCCGTGGCTCCCAGCCTCCTCCACCATTTGCAGAGAGAGAGAGACAAAGAGTCTCTCTCTCTCTCTCTCTCGCACCAGTTTTGTGGCTCCCAGTGTTTTCTTTTCTCTGGGAAACAGGTCCAAGTGGCTCTTTGAGTGTTTAAGGTTGCCAACCCCTGGACTAGCCAAACCCAAGTCCTGCAGCCATTCTTTGTATGTTTTAGACTCCAGGCCTTTGAATTTTTTCCAAAGTCTCAACATCTTTTTTGTGATATGGTGACCAAAATTGGCTGCAGTGTTCCAGGTATGGTCTTAATATGGTTTTATAAAGCGGTACTGATACTTTGTGTGATCTTGATTCTATGCCTCTGGTTATACAACCCCTGATTGTATTTAGCTTTTTTGGCTACTGCTGCATACTACTGGCTTATAGTCAAGTGATCCTCCACTAGGACTCCAAGGTCCCTCTTACAGTTGCTGTTTTTAAGCCAGGTCTCGCCTGATCTGTACTTGTACCTGTCAGAATCCAATTATATTTCATTTCTAGTTATCGACTATGGAAAACCCCATTTCTGCCCTCTCTGGATTCTGTCATACTACGAAGGCGAAGGGGGATGAGCAAAGGGGTTTTATGGCTCTCACTTCATTAAAACGTCAAAGGGACTGAATGTGGATCTCACCAAGAGGACTGACCATAACAATATGGCAATCACCTTTCATCTACTACTCTCTGAAGTCTCCATTCTGCCAGCTGTGAGGAAAAGGAGGTGGAAATGTAACGCCTGGGATTGTCGCTGGAAGGACGGTGGGGTGGGGGCTGCTTGGGAACACTTAAAACCTTGAATGGTAGGGGTTGGCCCCCCAGATCCTGTCTAGAACGCCTGCAACCATCTTCTCTTAATAAAGATGCCTGTTGGAAGAGATATTCCAAGAGTTCTGTCTTCTTAAGATGTAAAGTGGGGTAGGTCCTTACAGTACCTTTGATTTTTCCTGCCTAAATGTAAAACTTTGCTTTTCTCCACATTGAAACTCATTTTTTGGATAGGACCCATTGTTCAAGTTTGAACAATGGGCCCTATCCAAGTTTCCATTGATTTATTATTATTTTTATGTTACTAATTGTAAGTCGCTGTCTTTGGAAAGGGAGCGAAAAATAGATAAACTCAGTGTTAAACATTTAATGTTCAGGATGCTGCGTTTGAGAAACTGCTGAGTGTGAGGCTTTACCTAGGTTGTCTAGAGCAGGGGTATCAAACTCAAATTTTATTGAGGGCCGCATCAGCATTGCGGTTGGCCTCTGGGGGGCCAGGTGGGTGTGCCAGGATGGGTGTGGCCTACTGGGTGGGCGTGGATGGAGTGGGTGTAGCCTACTGGGGGCGTGGTCAGTTCTACATCATTCGCATCAAGGGTGCCTGTGGGAGCCTGGGCAGGAGTGGGACAGATCTGAGGGTCTCTGGCAGGAGGGGGTGGGACCAGGGCAAGTGCCAAGGCATGGTCCACTGGAGGAGCCTCACTGTTCCTCTCAGGCCATGCAGAGGGGGGGGGGTTAGATGGTGGCGCGGGCTGCCCAGAGCCCTGGGCAGCAGAGGTCAAACACCCAGCCTGGCCCTCGAGCATCTGCAGCACCAACCCCAGCCCCACTTCCCCAAGAGGACACCCAGCCGCACTTACCTCCTTCTCAAGGCTGCTGCTGCTGTGCTTGCTCTCCTTAGCCAGTTGGCTCATGATGGGTACGAAGGCAAAGTCAGAGAGAGGCCCATTCCCTCTCCATGGGAGGAAACCCAGCTTTGTATCCAAAGCTTCCTTAGCAATAGGATAGGAGACTCCATGACAGGCCAGGAGGAGGGGGCAAGGGGGTGGTGAAAGGGCACCAGGGCAGGACTAAGGCAGGACTTCCCTCAGACCCTCCTCTCCTTCTTTCCTTCCTAAGTACAGAGTGGTGGGAAAATATTTGGGATAAGGGAGAAAAACAGGCAAGAAACACAGCTGGGGAGGTGTCACCCTTCATGAGGAATGAAGAAATGCACCATCTCCTTGAAGTGGCCAGCACATGGCCCTCACCTACTTCATATATCTGGCTTGGTGGGCTCTGGGGAAGGGGATGCCACGAGCAGCATGAGAGTCAACGTTACCTGCGCAATGCCGCCCAGCCCCCCTGGTTTCGGCAGGCAGTAGGCGCTTTCCTCACGCTTTCCGCACCTTGCTCCCTGCTGAATCTGGGCAGGCTGGGGGCTAGGCAGCATTGCACTTCTCATCAGATTCGTGCCACCCAGCTCAGCTCTTGGCACTGTGAGGAGAGTGCCTCGCTGCCTGCAGAAACCCCTCCCCCAGAGCCCATCAAGCCGGATATGTGAAGTAAGTGAGGGCCATTTGCTGGCCACTTCCAAGTGATGGTCCATTTCTTCATTCCTCACTAATGGTGACACCTCCCCAGCATGCACCCAGGGAGGCAGGGCTGACACGGCAGGGGCTGGTTCCTCGCTATTTCCAGATGGCCTTGTGGATCTAAGAGTGAATATGTTTCAACATAGATGGCCACCACAAAATTGTACATTGGCTTCCAGCTGGCCTGGGCCAGGGCCAAGGCAGTGGGGGCCATTCCCTCACTGTTTCCAGGATGGCTTCATGGGCCACATGAAACCACTTCGCAGACTGCATCCGGCCCACAGGCCTTGCGTTTGACATATCTGGTCTAGGGCATTTTCATTTCTCACACTTATAGCGCTTCCTTTCTACCCATCCCCTTAGCTCACTGCGAGCAACTGACTGGCTTGCAAGTAAACATCCTGACTTACAGAAAGATCCAAGGAAACCATTGAACCATCACAAATGCCAGCAGTAGATACGACTAATTAAAGCAGCAACTCCCAACCTTTTTTATACCCCACACCCCTAGAACGCTTGATATACTCTCGCACCCCTTACAAAAGTTCGAAACAACAGAAATGAATTACGCATATGCACTATAATTTTGAAAAGTTTTCGCACCCCCTGGAATATCGTCTCGCACCCCCGGTTGGGAATTCCTGAATTAAAGGAAGGGGGGGTGGACACCTTTGCCAATTGCTCCCGTGCCTCGACTATTACAATTGAGAAGGATATGAAAAGGCGCGGCAGGGCTGCGGAGAGCTGGCGACGGCACGCCTCTGGATCCCAGCCCTCCATCTCGGACAACAGCGAGATCTCCTCAGGCTCGGCCTGAGCCATGCCGCTCACTCCGTATCTGCCGCCAGAAACGAAGGTCCTCCTCCTCCTCCTCCTCCGCTCAGCGCGATTCCCATCAAACACCGCGGCAACCATAGAGCGAGCTCAAGGGCTATTCCTGCGACGGAGCCGCTCTGGAAACTCTTTGGAAAGCGAAACCCCTCCGGGCCGCATTTTCAGCCGCCGGCGAGCCTCTCCGCTAAGTCGATCGGCTGCCCAGCCGTGGGCTAGACGCTTCCTACTCCCGTGCGAGGTTTAGTTTTCCGAGTCTGCCAACGCCACCATTCACGAGGTTGGAAGGAAAGGAGCCTGTATTGTGTGGGAATTAGGCTGCTCTTGGAAGGGGAAAAAAAAGGACGGGACGAGGGGGAGTTGCATAATCAAGTACCGGTAATAGTACGAGGCAGTGAAGTACTTGGTGTGTCAGAGTTAGTCACGCTGGGTTCCTTTTTCCCATGGAAATGCTGTGAAAAAGATTCTTGAAACTGGATCAGATTTGGGGCAAATTATTTCTGCCTCAAATCTGGTATATCTTTTTCTGAACAACAAATATTGCTGTCTCTCTGGACAACATACGAAGCTATAACTGAATAGTGCAGCATTTATGAGTATTGTTAAGAAACAATATACAGTATAATATATATGCTATATACATGTGTAAAGATATTAGAAATAGTGTAAATTATAACTGGATAGAAGTTAATGTCACTTTAAAAATAAGATTTGTACATTTCTTTTTAAGCACAACCAAAATCAGTATATGTTTGCTTATTAATACATCGGACATAAACTTTTTTTCTGTTTATTTCTCAAGACAATGGAATTTCAATTCAACTTCTCTATAGACCAAATAACAGAAAACAGAACAGATACTGCTGAGAATGAAAAGCTACAGCAGGAAATGGTCCTATTGAATAATCAAGGTGATGTTTCAGAAAACAGCAATAAGATTACCTCAGAAGAAAATATATTAAATTACTATTTATCTGGAACCACTGCTAATATATCAGACCACAATACTTTGAATGGAAGCCCTGACTCAAGTTTGTTGAGGAAACAGTCCTGTCCTAAATCTGCCAAGGTGCATGATATTCCTAAAGATATCAGTAAAGTCCTTGAGAGCAAAATTATTGCAACTTTACCAGGCATTCACTATGCAAATATTTCTGTGGTGGAGGCTGCACTTCCAGGAAATTCTGTCGGAGAAAATATTATGCCTAACATTTCTTCTCAGTCTGACCTAATTACAGGTGTCTATGAAGGAGGTTTAAAGATTTGGGAATGCACTTTTGATCTCATGGATTATTTATCAGAAATTGACATTCAGTTTGCACAGAAGTCAGTTTTGGACTTTGGATGTGGAGCTGGACTGTTAGGAATAGTTGCACTAAAAGGAAATGCTAAAGAAGTTCATTTTCAAGATTATAACAGTTCAGTAATTGAAGAAATCACCATGCCGAACATGCTGGCTAATTGTTCTCAAGATGATGGTGAAGAAGATACCCAATTTCACCTAAATCAATCTAGGAAAAAAGACTTCACCCAAGATTTTCTATCTAAATGCAAGTTTTTTTCTGGGGAATGGTCAGAATTTAGTAAATTTATTTTAAATAATACCAAGCCTTTAGTAAAATACGATCTCATACTTACATCAGAAACTATTTATAATCCTAATTACTATGAAGCTTTCCATGATGCAATTTCAAGTTTATTGGCAAGAAAGGGCACCATATTTTTAGCTAGCAAAGCACATTATTTTGGGTGTGGAGGAGGGGTCTACCTTTTTACAAGTTTCATAGAAAAGAAGAATATATTTAAATCTCAAACAGTTAAAGTTATTGAGAAGGGGCTCAAGCGTTTCATTATTAAACTGACATTTAACAATTCCTGTTAGCCAATTCCTGTTGGCTCAACATATTATTAAATATGCATTTTCTGTTATCAGAGGTTTTGTAATTACTAATACATTTAATTTTACTTACACCATTTTTCATTTCCCATGTTTTTTCATCTCTGAATTATTTATAATTATTTGTGCAGGGTATATACCACATAAACATATTTTTTACCTTGATTTTGTCTTAACAGTCATTTCCCATGAATGGGATTTCACAAACTAGGACCATAATTTATCTAAGACTGATACTACATATGTAATATCTTTTCTTCTAATACAGTAGTTCTCAACCTTCTTAATGCCGCGACCCCCAACCGGGTAAGTTGAGGACTACTCAACTGGTGCAGCACTGTTTGCAGAATGGGACTTTTGGCGGGCTCAGCAGGGCAGAGACAGCCTGGACAATTCCTATTGGCTTTTGAAAGCCAATAGAATTAGACTCTATTCAAGAGAGTCTATTCTATTGGCTTTCAAAAGCCAATAGAATAAAAGGGAGTAGAACAGCTGAGGAAAAGGGGGAAAAAATGGCAGATTGCGTTGTTTGGCGACCCCCGTGAAATGGTCGTTCGACCCCAAATGGGGTCCTGACCCACAGGTTGAGAACCACTGTTCTAATACATCAATCATCCCCCAGTCGTCATATACGCAGGAGGAAGGAGAGAAGGGTGAGAAAACCGCTGCCGCTGTCCCAGCCAGGACTTTGCGCTGCCTGGCCTCGCCCTCCGCCCATCCAATGGAGCCGCGGTGAGGGCTGGTGCTGCACGGCCCGCCAGCCCCTCTGCCAGCCTGGCTGCTTCCCCCCCCCCAGGCACTCCTCTTGCCCCGGCACCTGCCCGAGCCGCCATGGGGACAGCAGGAGGAAGGAAAGGAGAAGTGTGAGAAAACCGCTGCCGCTGTCCCAGCCAGGACTTCGCGCTGCCCGGCCTTGCCCTCCACCCATCTGATTGAGCCGCGGTGGGGGCTGGTGCTGCGTGGCACTTGCCAGCCCCTCTGCCAGCCCAGCTGCTCCCCCCCAGGTACCCCTTTTGCCCCAGCACCTGCCCGAGCCGCAGAGGAAGAAGGGGAGGAGGAAGAGGATGACAAAGAAGCCGCCGCCAGCGCTGGGACCCAGGAGGCGGCTCTCCTCTCCTACCTTTGCTGAATCTTCTTCCTTCCCAGCAGCCTGGGCTCCGGCACGCCTTCCTGGCCAGCAGGTCCAATGGTTGGGCTGGCCTCCTTTGGGCCATGGCTTGCGGGAGGGCTGGCCTGCTTCCCCGGATGGCTCCAAGGCCACGAGGTCCTGGCCACGCTTCTCCCAGTGGGTGGGGCACCCGGGCGCAGGGCCAGTCAGGAGCCCTGCAGGAGGTAAGTCCGCCTGAGAGAGAGAGAAAGGAAGTGAAAGTGCCTCTCTGTCTCTCTCTCTCTCTGCAAATGGCGGAGGAGGCCATGTGGAGCGGTGTCTCAGTTCCTAAGACCATTGGAAATATGTGTTTTCCAATGGTCTTAGGCAACCCGTCAAAGGGTCGTTCGACCCCCAAAAAGGTCACGACCCACAGGTTGAGAATCGCTGCTCTACACGCTATCCTCTTTTTCCTTGGGTGTTTTTTTTGACCTCTCTTGGTATCATTTTTATTGATTGATTGGTTCTTGGAAACAATATGGATAAGTCCATGCACTTTTTTTGGCATGGTTTTCAGAATTGCTTTGCTGTTGATTCATCCCAGGGCTGAGTGACTGGCTCAAAGTCACCCAGTTGCCTGCTGCGCCTAACTCAGGATTAGAATTCAGGTCTCCCTATTTCTAGTTGAGAACCTTAACTGAGGTCAAATTGGCTCTCTTGCTTATAATTTTCTCCTTACTGCTAGAAACCAGCAACCGTATTTCCATTATATTCTTTCCAGATGTTTCCCTACTTTTTTTTAAGCTCGTCTCACACTTTCCTCTGATCTTCAATTGTTCTATCTCTCGCTTTCCTTATTAGTCCAAATTCATAAGCAATAACTTATGAAGCATGGTTACCTTTCACTTTTCTAATAATTCACAGCAGTATAACCAAGCAGGTGTATGCATCATGCTAGAACAGGTGTCAAACTGCTGGCCCGCAGGCAGTGCCGAAACCACACCCTCCCATTGTCAGAAATGGAAAAAAGTCATGATATGTTGCGACATGTCTTGTGACATTGTGAGTTTGATACCCCTGTGCTAGAAGCTGAATGTGACCATAAATAAATTCCATTTTTTTTTTGGTTCAGATAACAAATGAAGAATCACAGTAAAAATTGTATTTCAGCATAATTTAATTCAAGATCCTCATTCAAATAGTGAAGTACATCTACTCCTTACATGGTTGATATGTCTTGTCATGCACAGGGATTTTATGAAATCTTATTGTACAGAATTACACAGCGATTATGTTTGCAATGAACCTCGTTAAATGCCTTTTCAATCTAGCATGTATTGTGAATCCAGTTCATATGGTTATCTTTATGGTAAAAGTACAAACCCACAGCTGAGTAAATTGTAATTAAACATATGTCATTAAAGCACAATCTATATCTTAATGTTTTTAACTATTTAAATATTTTTAAATTGCTCTGGGATTGGATGACAAAGTGAATTATGTCATGTAATTGCCCACAGGAGAATTTATATCCAGCATCTGCAGTTGCCAGCATGTCAGTGCTACCTAAATGGCTCACAGTGCCCCTTGTTTCACCAAAAACAACACAGGGTCTTAATATTATTTTTTTTGCCTCCAAGAGGCAGCAGGTCTTATTTTTGGGGAGTGTCTTTTATACTCACCTCTGGCACCGACAGCCCTACCCAGCCGGTCCACTTCTTCTGACTGAAGGAGCAGCTTCATTCTGCAACTGCATCCCAGCCTGCATTTTGGAGTCAGGCCTTTCCAGAAGGCCTCTGCAGCCGAGAACAGAGCTATGGATTGAATCCATAGCTTGGTTCTCGGTTGCAGTGGCCTTCTGGACTGAGAAATGCAGGCCTGGCTGCAGAAGATACCACAGAAAAAGAAATGGGCTGGTGAGGAAAGATCTGGCTGCCAAGTAAGTGGGTGCAGGGCATGTGGGGCAGCTCCACCCCCCTATCCCTGCCCTAGCTTGATTTTTAGGTGTGTGCCTTACCCCAAAACTAGGGCTTATTTTTGGGGTAGGGCTTGTATTAGGTCCACCCCCAAAAATCAAGCTAGGGCTTATTTTGGGGTAGGCCTTTTGGGGAAATGGTATTAATACCATTGTATTATTGTCATATTAGATACAATTTTGATTTTCCCAAATAAGGTTCTAAAATTGCATTATTTTAGGGAAGGAGTACCTGAAAAAGATGTATATCCCTAATTTGGAGTCTGGAAATACAAGTATTGGGTATGATATTCAAGATAATTTCCATGAATTTTAATATTGAAACTGGATGAATTATCAAAGATCATGTGTTCATCCTGGCTTTGATTTGGCAGTTTATCAACAAAAATGGAAATATTTACCAATCTTCATGAAGTCCTCAAAGAAAGCTTGACTTGTATGAAACTTTATTCCTTAAAAATGCTTAAAGAGGGCTTGCATCAATGCTGGGTTCAAAATTATCTTTATGGCAATGTAAATTGGAAGTAAGTATAGATTTCAAAGAAATTCAAATGTTGTCAACAAGATGTGAAGATGTGATACCAAGTTATTTAAAGCATGAGCCCACCCATTCATATCCTATTTTTTCTATTCAGTATAGGCTAAATGCACTGATTGTGTTTCCTCATGGAAGCTTAGAATTAAGTGTATACTATCTTGAAAAGATTCAGATTTATATTAGATTATACAATTTATTTCTTGTCATCTGACCAGCTAATTTCATAATCCGTATAAGTTCTCTTCAGTATTTCAACAGTCGCAGAATGATCAGCTTTACCATATCCCTGTAAGAAGAAAAGATTTCTAGTGTCATGGAATCATAGAATAAAAAGACACTCAAAATATTTTACTCGATTCTGCTATAGCTATTGAGCATGATTATTTCCAAATAAACTTATTCCTAGTAATACCTGCTCAAAGCAGACAATTTATGATAAAATAACAAGTCTGCTCAAAGCAACTTATGGTAGAACTCAAAGCAGATTATTTATGATTGTTCAGTGTTGCCCAGAGCCACCTTTTTGTGAGATGGGCAGCTATACAAATTTATTTTGTATAACTCAAGCAGATGATTTATGATAAAATAACATATTTGTTTTACTTGATTGTTCTATGCTGCCCAAAGTTACCTTTTGTAAGATAGGCAGCTATACAAATTTATATAAATAAATGATAACTACATTAATTTCTTAAATAAAACTGAAGAACAACCAATAGTATCAAACAGCTGTAATTCTGTAATTTTTTGTGTTTTCTATGATGCATCATAAATAGATTTTCCCTAAACTAGGGATGACTCCTGTGTCCCCAAGATCTCTTCAGAACAGAAAGCAATAAAATAAATTCTGGATTCATTATGGCTATTATTTATTTATTTATTTAATTTTATTTATATGCCGCCCAATCCCAAAGGACTCAGGGCGGATTATTCTGGATACTATGTAATTTAGATTATGTTTTTGTTTGGAGTTTTTGTTGCAGTTTTGCAATCAGAATTGGAAATGTGTGAACACAATAAAAATTCCACAAGCAATGATTTAACATGAAAGATGGTACATATTTGAGGACAGCTGAGAGTTACAGAAACCTCATCCTCAAATCTACTACTGTTCCTTCTTGTGAATTAATAGCAATACATTTATAAACACCCTAATGTTAATATGCAAATTAAATTGTCATATTTAGGTAACATATGTAAGCAGCACTTAACTGTAGAAAGGCCAAATACACAAATTTTCTTGTCTTTGCTGTTAAGTTCAATTTTTCCTCCTCCAAGACACTTGCATACAAAGCCTAGCTTTTCCATTTCAGGATTTACTTTTTCAAATATGTGATCTGTAATAAAAAAATAGAAGCTAAGCGAAATATCAAGAGTATATAAAACAAGGATCTGTGAAATGTAAACATTGTAGGAACTCTATAAAAACTCTACCTTGCCTGAACTATAGTATTCATGCAAGTAGTTTTGAACATATTAATGTCTGGAAAGGATTCATTATTATAAATGAATATAGACTATCCTCATCTTGTAGATGCCAAAAGGATGAAGAAATGCCAAAACTG